AAAGAAAGAAAGAAAGAAAGAAAGAAAGAAAGAAAGAAAGAAAGAAAAGCAGGCCAGGGCTTCTGAACTGACTGCATCTCATTCTGAGCTTCTATAATCCCTCCTACTTGTGAAGTTCAGGAGCCGCAGGGTGGACAGGAGTGAGTTTTCCTTACTTTCTTAGTCCTGTTCGAATCCTGTAGCCTTTGATGATTTATGAGATAAGCTCATTGAAATTAAGAAGGAAGGAAAGGAAAGAAAGAGAAGAAAATGTTCCCCATTCTCACAGTAGACTGATATTGCCACGTGTCCAGAGGCTGCCAGGTGCTAAATGACCCAAAGGGGTCAGTATTGGACTGGCTGCCCAGGCGCTTAGGGCAGTCATCAGGTGGAATTATAGGGACGGAAGTCAGCTTTCTAATGCCCACCTGGGAAATAAGCTACCACGATCTTGGAAACTCTGCCCCAGACCGTTCTCAAACAATCCACTACATCAGACTCTAGACGGCACTGGATTTTCCAAAAAAGCAAAAAGAAAATCAAGATGAGTAAAGATGTGGTTTTTTGATAATGCCCAACAAAGCAGCGACCAGGGGTGAGGCGTCACCTCTTGGGCCTATAAAAGCTGCTGCAACAGGCTAAGGCCACAAGCCACCAGCTTAGGTCAGCGTACGCTTCTTCTGCTCCTCGGTTCTCTTGTTGGCTCTGGGCTTCATGGCGCTCTGGTTGACAGCTGTCCTGGCTCTCGCCTGCCTCGGTGGTCTCGCTGCCCCGGGCCCGGTGCCACGACCAGTGCCTCCTTCCGACGTGCCCCTCAGGGAGCTTATTGATGAGCTGATCAACATCACACAAGACCAGAGGGTGAGTAACACACACACCCCTCCCTGGAAGATGTCAGGAGCAGGCTGAGCCTGGCCCTGTATGTGTGACAGAAGAAGCCCCCAGTCCCCAGGCTCAAAAGTGAGGGAGAGGAGAAGCTGGCTTGGGGAGGGGGCAGCATTGTGGCCAGTGAAGTGTCCCCTAAAAGAAAGACCTTTACAACTGAGCAGGTTTATGCCAAGAAAACCTGGTGAAGAGAGGTTTCTAGCTGGGAAACCAGACAATTCTCAGACTCTCACAGTCTAGGGGCAGTTATGGGGACAGGGAAGGGTTGGAATGTGGATCCAGAGATTGCTAGGAGTAATCAAAGAACGGTGAGCGAAAGAGAATGCCGGGGGATCCTTAAAACTCTGGGATGGCCAGTCATCGTCAGGGGTCTGCAGGAGGAAGGGTGGGAGTGGGGTCGGGGATGGCGACTTTAGCTCTGGAATGCTGATTACTGTGGCTTCCAGAAGCGTTCCCTGTTTAACCAAAGTGAAGGACTTTCTTAAAATGGCGGGGCCATGGCTAACAAATGGACCTTGAAGTAGTTGGCAGGGTCACTAGAGACCTGGTCCCACTCCTACCAGCTCAACACAGGGAAAAGCAGGACAGGACATTTCCCAGTGGGGTTTCCTACACCATGTTCCAGTCATGATGTCCCAGTCATGATGTCAAGCAGTTGAACAGGACTTGTACATCAATCTCCTCCCTACACCGTCTCTGCTTGCACTGTCTGTCCATTGATGATTGCAAAGCCTGGTGTTATGCTGTGTTGTCCCTGCTGGTACCTCTACAGGCAGGCACAGTGGCTTCATTTGGCAAGGTTCAAGGAAGTTAATGTCAGAGTCTAGACTCAGGCCTTGCAAGAATCGTATGAAGCTTTGTGTGTGTCTAACATAGCACCCCAGTCAGGGAACAAACTAGGGATGCGTAGGACTCCAACTGCCTCAGGTCTGACTTGACCAGGTCAGCAGCAGCCTCTCCAATCCCTCTACCTGACCCCACTCTGACCTTCGCCATAAGCCCCCTTGCTCTTGCCTAGACTGTGGCAAGCCTCAAAAAAGCCATTGTCCCTGCCAGTAGCCACTCAATGTTCCTCTCTCAGCTCCAAGACTCTAATCCCTGCCCCCAGCCCCTCCTGTTAAGTAGACATTGGAGTTCAGGGTGTTGGGAGATTGTCAGGCCTGACTCCATGCTACACTAGGGGTACTTGTGGACCTGGTCTGGCCGGGGCAGGCCCATAACTCTTCTACCATCTGCTCATGGTGTCTTTCCTTCCTCAGGCTCCCCTATGCAACGGCAGCATGGTATGGAGCGTGGACCTGAAATTTGGCGGGGTAAGGAGCCTGGGCTTCAGGGATGTGGTGGTGGCCGGAGGCCTGGGGTTCCTTTCCTCTAGGCCCTATTCATGCTGCTAGGGCTTTGCAAACAACATTCAGAGCAAGGCATGCCTGGACTATCAGGATTTGAGAGGTTGAGGCAGGAGGATTACCATGAGGAATATTACTATATAGTAAGTTCCAGGCTGGCCTGGGCTGCAGAGTGAGATCCTGCCTCACAGAAATCAATGGTAAAAGCACACTCTAGCTCCGTGGTTCTCAGCCTTTCTGATGCTGCGACCCTCTGATACAGCTTCTCATGTAGTGGTGACCCCCAACCAGAACATTATTTTCGTTGATATTCCATAACTGTAACTTTGCTACTGTTATGAGTCGTAATGTAAATATCTGATATGCAGGATATCTGATATGGGACCCCAAAGGGGTCATGACCCATAAGTTGAGGACCACCGCTTGAGGAGCTACCCACTCACTCCTCAGAATCTAGGCTCCTCCTGCCCCCTATACCCATCTGGCCAGCCAACTGCTTTCCTGTAACCTGAGCCAGCCCAACACCTGCCCTCTTCTCCCACAGTTCTGTGCAGCCCTGGAATCCCTGACCAACATCTCCAGTTGCAAACCCATCTACAAGACCCAGAGGATACTGAATGGACTCTGCACCCGGAAGGCCTCAGCAGGGGTAAGGCTTGTTTCACCTCGGCACCCACTCCTACTAGCCTGGCTGAGCATCCCATGGGTATGGCCACCCAGGAGCGGGTCCACTGTGGCAGCAGGGTCCCGGATGTAGGGACTTACAGGTCCTGGGCTCAAGGGCTCCCAACTTTTACCTGAGCTACATTTGTAAAGCAGAGACAAAAGCAGAACCCACCTGGCAGGGACTTTTGGGAACATTGTTTGGCACAGCCCCTGGAAAGTCCCTGGTGTCCTTGGCATCCTGCTAACGGATGGGCCTCTCTGCTGTTTTTCAGGTTTCCAACCTTCCAGACACCAAAATTGAAGTGGCCCAGTTTATAACAAATCTGCTTACCTACTCAAAACAACGTTATCGTCTCGGCGACTATTATGACTGAAGAGAGAAAAGCGCAGGCGCGGGCCCTGGGCGTCGCAGCTGTGGAGCCATCGCGCTTGCTCAAAGCAGACCTTTCTTGGGGAGGCCGGGAGGAGGGCTGGGAATGGATGAGATTGGTTTAGCTTTGACCTCAGGCTGCCTGCCTAGTGCCGGGGGGCTCAGCCTGGCAACTTCCTCTGTCACCCCGCCCCTGTGCCTGGGGCCTGCTTCACCCAGGCCAACTGAGGCAGAGAGCAACTTGGACACATTTCTTCTTGATCTTATTTATTATGGTTGTATGTTATTTAAATAAGTCTGTCAGTATTGGGGTGGGGGCATGGTTCGCTGCCTTTGTTCCCAGTGGGCTCTGGGGTCCCTGGCAATAATCACTGTGTACACAATTCTGCTACCTCGCTGGGGCCTCCAGGTCTCACTCAGGCTGGGGACAGGAGGGAAGGCCAGAGTCACACACACTCCTGTCCACCGGCAGGCAGCAACCAGCCCTCAGTCATAAAGTAACTTATTGTTTTATCCTTATATTTAAAATATTAAATAGGTTAGCAAAGAGTTAATAATATATGGAAGAAATGCCTGTTACACTTAAGGTGATGTGTGGGGAATGGGGGCAAGGGTTGTCACTGAACATGTTTTTTCATTGACTGTCAAACTAGAAACCAGAAATAAAGATGGTGACAGATAGCCCTGTCTGTTTTTGCTGTCTCTTTTGATCCTTGGGGATACTGACCTGTGTAGGCTCCAAATTGAGGAGCTCAGTGTGAGACAGGCTCCTCAAAGGAGGTGGGGGGAGAGGGGGTAAAGGGAAAGACCTAGGCTGAAAGCAAACCCTCTGGGCTGGAGGGGAGAGGGAGTAGAGGGTACCTTTCCTGTATACTGCTGGTGAACAGGGGGAGCTTGGGCCAGGAAGTTGGGGTTCAAGGGGGATGTCTAGAGCAGGCGGGGGACCTCTTGGGTATCTCCTGATGACTGGCCAGCTGTGTCTGCACCACCCACACAGTCTCAGGTCTCCCTTGCCACAGGGGGAGTCACAGCAGAGTCTGAGACTCGCTGAGGGTAGGAGGTTTGCCGGAGGCACATGCTGGGTGGGAACAACGCTCCACACTACCTCTTTTCAAAAGCCACCTGCATAAATACATGGCTCTTCTCCACTATACTGCCTACTTGAATGTTCACTGTTGAAAGGGCATTCACTATTTACATTTAGCAACAGCCAGTTCAATTTCTGGACCTCACTCTTTTTTTTAAGCCAGGACGAATCAGTTGACATGTGGGAGACTAGGGAAACAGACAAGGCCATGGAAGATGGCACCCCAGAGCAGGTGGACTGCCTCCCCCTTGCTGGCCCAGAAGCTGGAGTGGTGACAGTACCAGCATCAGGAAGCCCTGGCTAACACGATGTCTGCCAGCATCCTTGGGAGATGCTACCCAGAGCAGAAAGAGGCCTAGGTACCTTGGCAGCAGGTGGGAAGTGGGGTTGAGACCACTCAGATGTTGACAGGCAGGCACCCTCCTGGGGCAGGCTGGAACCGGTGCTCACAACCACACATCAGCCACACAACACCAGAGGACATGGTAAGAACTCAGCCAACTCTTGGGGAGTCAGTGTTCCCTTCTTGCCTCACTGCCAACAAGGGAAAGAGGGGAAGCAGCCAAGTAGCGGCATTGGGAATTGGCCACTGTGGAAGAGAGAGAGAGAGAATCCCTTCAGAGGGTGTGGGATGTGTGCAGCAGGGCAGGACTGGCTCCCAGTAGTGACAAAGGGATCACGTTTGCTGAGGACCATCTGTGGCTGGCACAGCACCAGCCACCTAAACCAGGGACTGCAAGACACAGTAACAGTCAGAACTTACAAAGGCGTGGGGGGAGGATGTTCTCCTCCATCCTCCCTGCTGGGGGTACTGCTAGAAAGTCAGGGATGAGCAATGATCTTGACCTCCTTCTCCACCCATAACCTAGAATAAAAAGATAGATGGATTGTTTTGTTTTGTTGGGTTCTTTTGAGACAGGGTTTCTCTGTGTAGCCCTAGCTGTCCTGGAAAACACTCTGTGGACCAGGCTGGCCTCGAACTCAGAGATTCACCAGCCTCTGCCTCCCAAGTGCCGGAATCAAAGGTGTGTGCCACCACCAACCGACTGTTTAAGAAAAGGGTGGAGTGTGTGTACACAAATATGTATGTACGTATGAATGTGCATGTGTATGATGTATGCATGACTGTGCATGTATATATGTTTATGTGTGTATTGCTGTGTATGCGTGTATGTGTGTGTGTGTGTGCGTGTGTGTGTGTGTGTGCGTGTAAGAAGCTAGAAGTTAACCTTGGGTGTTGTTCCTCAGGAGTAATCTATTTTTATTTTATTTCTTTCAAGGTTTTTCAAGGCAGATTTCTCTGTGTAGCTTTGACTGTCCTGAATCTCACTCTGTAGACCAGGTTGGCCTTGAACTCACAGAGATCCTCCTGCCTCTACTTCCTGAGTGCTGTGATTAAAGGTGTGTGCCACCATCACTAGCTGAACCTTGTTTTTCTATCTAGGTCTCTCACTCACTGGTCTAGAACTGGCCTGTTAGGCTATCTATGCTGGCTGGTCAACAATCCCCAGAGATACTCCTGTCTCTGTCTCCCAGCGTTGAGGTTACAAGTGTGCACCATTCCACCCTCTTTCTCATGCTTCCAAGGCAAATGATTTTCCCACTGATCCATCTCCCCAGGCCCCAAGATTGATGGTTTTTCTGTGCATTCTCTCATCAATATAGTTTCAGCTTTACCCTGGTCCCCTCTACCTGACCAAGGTGTTGCCTGTCTGTCCAAAATAAGAGAGATGGTCTGGGGATAAAAACACTTGCCGTGCAATCCTGATGACCTAAATTTCATCTCTGGAACTTGTGCAGAAGGTCAGATGCAGTGGTAGCACCCGTAACCCCAGGACTCTTAAGGTAATATGGGAAGGTGAAGACAGCAGAATTGCCCAGAAGCTCATGGGTCAGCTAACTCCCAAAAGAGATAGAATGACAGGGCTGGAGAGATGGATCTGTGGTTAAGACCACTGGCTGATCTTCCAGCAGCCCCAGGTTCAGTTCCCAACCCCCACTCACACAGTGGCTCACAACCAACTGCAACTCCAGTACCAGGAGATCTGATGCCCTCTTCTGGCCTCCATGGGCACTGCACACACACAATACACAAACATTCAGGCAAGCCCTTATCACATAAAATAGAAAAATAAAATCTTGGTAGAGGATGGTGACCACACCTTTAATCCCAGCACTCGGGAGGCAGAGGCAGGTGGATCTCTGTGAGTTCGAGGACAGCCTGATCTACAGAGCAGGTTCCAGAACAGTCTCCAAAGCTACATAGAAAAACTCTGTCTTGAAAAAAAAATACAACAAACAAACAAACAAAATGAAAAACCTCAAAAAAAATTTTAGGTTGAAAGAAAGAACCAAAAAATTGTTCTTTGACCTCCATGTACACAGTGGCACAGGTGCACATGCACATAAAAATGTGTGTTCACACGCACATACACACACACACACACACACACACACACACCAATCTCTTTCTTCTTCCTCTCTCTCCTCCCTCCCTCTCTCTGCTCTCTCCCCTGTCTCTCTCTGCCTCTTTCTCACTCTCTTCCTCTCCTTTCTCCCTCGTCCTCCTTCTCTCTCTCTCTCTCTCTCTCTCTCTCTCTCATTCCTTTCTCCCCTCCCCTCCTCTCCTCTCCTCCTCCTCCTCCTCTCTCTCTCTCTCTCACACACTCTCTCTCTCTTTCTCTCTCTCTCTCTCTCTCTCTCTCTCTCTCTCTCTCTCTCTCTCCTCTTTTCCATGCCTTTTCTGGCCACCAGGGGTCCACAGCTAGCTGCATCCTCAACCACCACACCACAGATCAAATCTTTCACACGGGCTGTGCCTCAGGCAAGGGCAGACCTGTGATCCTCAGTAGGGTACACTGGACCCTTCAGGAACAAAGGAGACTTACATTGCCACAGAATAAAGCTGGCATAGCTGACGGCAAGGAGGTGGCCCAGTCAGGAACAAGAGAAGGAGGAAGAAACAGGAGAAATGTAAGTTTGAGAGCATCACCTTGAGGCCCTAGAGGGACCATGGCACTCCTGGGAAGCTGCTGGGAGCTTTCTCCCATACATAAGGGCAATTCTCAGCAGTGCTCAGAGACAGAGGCGCTGAGAAGAGGTAAGGGCCCCTGAGGAGAGGGGGAGGCAGAGCTGGTCAGGGCATGGGGTGAGCGGCCCCTCAGTTCCCCAGGCTCAGGAGGTTTCACTGAAGGAGGGAGGGACGGGGGCTCAGAGGAGAAGTGAGACACGCACTCTGTTTCCGCTGAACTCAACAGCAAGCACTTGCACCACTCAGGCAAGGTGTTGAAAACACAGTCATATCAGGGGCTTCTCTGGGGCCAGTCCTTGAGGCGTTCAGGACAAAGAGGGGCCTGTGTCTGTCCCCTAGCGCTGAGGGCAGCTAGGAGGATGGGCTGGGCAAGCCATTGGCTGTCACATTTATACAGCAGTCAGTGCTTGATCCTGCAGTCAGCTGATCAGTGGAGACCAACGTCAGCTAGCCCTGCTTCTCCCTGCTGAGATGGTGGCAGGTGCTGCTGGCCATGTGTCTTGGCTGGGGGCACCCTGGTCGTATGGTCCCATGCTTTAAGCTGTGTCCACGTCACCCCTCCCCCACACTGCCCTCCCTTACTCTGAAAACTAAAAGTCACCAGGCCTCACTATCTTCATTCATTTCTCAGCTCCACCCAAAAGTGACAGAGCGCATGGCTTACAACGAACTTTCTCAGATCAACTGATTTCTCGGCAGCCAGGGAGGGCCCCCCGTGACGTGACGAAGCCATTAGAAATCCCAGAACCAATTTTCTACTTACGACCTCACTTTCTGTTGCTCTCTCTCTCCCTTCCTCTCCACAGTGCCATCTCGAGTGGAAAGTGATCCCCTCACAGAGTGACTGCCGAAGAAACGCCCCCAGTCCTGCCCTGCCTGGGCTGTT